AATATAAGAATGAGAGAATCAGTATGACACACAAATTTAAGAAATGACAAAAAAAAAAAAGAAAAAAAACATACGAAACGATAAATTGATTCGGATCATAAAAAGAGAATTAAAATACTAGCACTGCAGGGGAAAAATGTACGATTTAGGGACAAAAGTTTCTCCCTTTCCCCCCCATTTCTTTCTGTGTCCTGAATCGGGGATACGGACTGTGAAAATAAAAGTATTGCGAAGGGAAAAAGAGAGAGAGAGAGAGAGCAAAAAAGGTGAAAGAACAAAAGGCAATAGAGTAAGGAAATTAAAAAAAAGAGAGAGAGAGAGGAAAGGGTCAAAGAAAAAGACGAGAGAGAGAGAGAGGAACTATGAGGAGATGAGGAAGGAGGAAGAGATGGATGACGTGAGGGAAATGGGGAGGAAAAATGGAGGAAATAAGGGGGAAAAAAGCTCATCAGAGTACCATTGACGAATGAGAAGAAGAGAAAACGCGAGAAAAATAAGTCATTAGCCCGAAATTACGAACAAAGAAAGATAATGATAATATCAATAAGGACAATAACAGTTATTATAAGAGTAACAGCGACCATGACGATAATGATTAATATGATTTGATAATGATAATATTAATGATCTCAGTTCTTGGGTATGATTGATGGATGACAGAAGAAAGCTGCCAAATAGAGAGGGAAGACGGAAAGATGGAGAAGGAAGATAAAGGAAGAGAGTTCAAAAAAGCTAGACGAGGAGAAAAGAGTTAGGAAGAGCAAAGAGAGAGAGAGAGAGAGAGAGGAGAGAGAGAGAGAGAGAGAGAGAGAGAGAGAGAGAGAGAGAGAGAGAGAGAGAGAGAGAGAGAGAGAGAGAGAGAGAGAGAGAGAGAGAGAGAAAGAAGAAGAAGAAGAGAAAGAGAGAGAGTGAGAGAGAGAGGGCAGAGAGAAAAAGAGAGACAAAGACAGTGATAGAAATAAGAGACAAAGAACAAAGACAAAGAAAGACAGAAACAGTGACAGACACAGAGAAAGAGAAAAAGAGAGCAAGGCAAAGAGAGATCCCCAGAGAGAAAGAGAAAGCGAGAGAGACAGAGACAGAAAGAGAGAGAGAGAGAGAGAACGAGAGCGCGATAGAGGGAGGAGGAGGAGGTCTGCGGGAAGGGAGGGGGAGTTAGGGAGGGAGGGAGAGCGGGGAAATGGGAGGAGAGGAGAGGAGAGAAGAGAGGAGAGAGAGAGGGGACTAAAGGGGAACCACTGCTTAGTCTTCTCTCGCCCGTTCGAAGTAAGAGAGTGCAGCAAGTTGATGCCGACGCTGCTGGTCGTAGGGTCGTGGTTTTGGCCTCGTGGTTGGTGTGGTGGGAGGTGTGGGTTGGGCAGCGTGGTGTGGTCGTGGAGGTGTGGTGGTGGTATGGGTCGGTGCGTGGGAGGTGTGGTGGGAAGTGGGTCGTGGGAGGTGTGGTGGGAAGGGGGTCGTGGGGGTCGGTATGGGTCGTGGGAGGTGTGGTGGGGAAGGTATGGGTCGTGGGAGGTGTGGTGGGGAAGGTATGGTCGTGGGAGGTGTGGTGGGTGGTATGGGTCGTGGGAGGTAGGTCATGTGGTGGGGAAGGTATGGGTCGTGGGAGGTGTGGTGGGATGGTATGGGTATGGTGTGGGTCGTGGGAGGTGTGGTGGGTGGGGGTTGTGGAGGTGTGGTGGGGAAGGTATGGGCGTGGGAGGTGATGGCGTGGGAGGTGTGGTGGAATGGTAAGGGTTGTGGGAGGTGTGGTGGGGAAGGTATGGGTCGTGGTTGGTGTGTGTGGGATGGTGTGGGTCGTGGGAGGTGTGGTGGGGAAGGTATGGGTCGTGTGGTTGGTGGTGGGTATGGTGTGGGTCGTGGGAGGTGTGGTGGGGAATGGTGGGTCGTGGGAGGTGTGGTGGGTATGGTATGGGTCGTGGGAGGTGTGGTGGGTATGGTATGGGTCGTGGGAGGTGTGGTGGGGAAGGTATGTGTGGTGGTGTGGTGGGTATGGGTGTGGGGTCGTGGGAGGTGTGGTGGGTATGGTATGGGTCGTGGGATGGTGGTATGGGTGGGTCGTGGAGGGTGTGGGTTGGGTGGTATGGGTCGTGGGAGGTGTGGTGGGGTATGGTATGGTGTGGGTCGTGGGTGTAGTGGGGTATGGGTTGTGGAGGTAATGGTAATGGGTCGTGGGGGTGTGGTGGGTATGGTATGGGTCGTGGGAGGTGTGGAGTATGGTATGGGTCGTGGGAGGTAATGAATGGGTCGTGGAGGTGTGGTGGGAAGGTATGGGTCGTGTAGTGGGGAAGGTATGGGATACAGTTGGTGTGGTGGGAATGGTATGTGTCATGGTTGGTATGATAGTCATGGTATGGATCATGGTTGGTACGTTAGTAATGGTATGTGTCGTAAATAGTATGGTACTTGTGGTGTATGAAGTAAATGGTTCATAGATGGTTTGGTAGGTGTTGCAGATGGAGTGGTATTCATGGTATGGGTCATAGATAGTTTGGTTGATCAT